CCAGGCCTCGCTCCGGCAGCGGCCTCGCTCCTGGAGCGTTGACTGAGCTCGCAGGGCTGGAATCAAAGACGACCCAGTGGCCGCGGTCGCCCGTTCAGAGCGCTGCGGGGGCCGGCAGCTCGCAGCCCCGCGCGCAGGTGTCCGGGGCGGTGCAGACCCCGAGGGGAGACGCTGCGGAAGGTGTTCTGGAGTCGGGAGCCTCGGGCGTGGTGTTAGCCAGGCTCGGGAATGTGAGCTTGATTCGGGGAGCAGAGGAGCACTCCCGCAGGCAACGTTTCTTAAAGGCGGGCTCGAAACTTTTGCATTTTACGAGGATGACTCTCCAAATTGTAATGCTAATGAGAGCAAATCGGGGAAACTCTGAATTCACAGATTGGTCATTTAACCCAAGGGGCCCGTGGTAGGGGTCCAGGCTATTCTGAATTTCATTTGGAGGGAACTTGAAGCGATCACAGTTCTTTTTTGTAAGTCTATTTGGCAGTCTCTATTAAATTGCTTGGTTTGATAGCCACATTTTTTTTTTCTTATTTTTTTTTTACATAGAGGCATGTACAGGGTGAACATGACAGTATTGTCAGCTTTGTTAGACTAAACTAAAAAAGTAATTGCTCATCAGTTTGCAAACTAATTGTTAATATGCATGTAATATAGAATATTATGCAGCAGTTTAATTTTTTATTGATTTTTAGAGAGAGAGAGGAAGGGAGAGAAAGAGAGAGAAACATCAATTTGTTGTTCCACAAATTTACGCACTCATTGGTTGATTCTTGTATGTGCCCTGACCAAGGATGGAGCCCACAACCTTGGCATATGGAACTACACTCTAACCACCTGAGCTACCCAGCCAGGGTCCTATGCAACAGTTTAAAAAAGAATGAGAATTGTACAGATATGGATGGGTATCCGATTGTTAATTGGGTGATTCATTGAAAAAAATCAAGCCCAGCTGGGTGTGGCTCAGCAGTTGAGCATGGACCTAGTATCTAGGAGATCGAGGTTTGATTCCCTGTCTCACTGGCCCGGGTTGCGGGGGTGTGCAGGAGGCAGCCGATCAATGATGACTCTCTCATCATTGATGTTTCAACTCTCTCCCTCTCCCTTCCTCTCTCTGAAATCAATAAAGATATATTTTTTTTTTAAATCAAGTTCAACAAAACAGTGAATTCTCATTTGTGTTAAAAAGGAAACAAATGAAAAAACATCTCCCTAATTTTTGTATGTTAAAATAGGTATCCAAGTGCATAGGGAGAGTTCTAAATTTAAAACAATAGTCATTCCCCCTAGGGAATCCCCTAGGTTGGAAGCAATGAGGACAATGTATTACTGGGAAGTTTTACAATGAGACCTGTTTGTGCACCGTGT